TTTCTTTTATATTTAAAAAGTATGTACATAGGAAATTATTTATGCTGACAACAGGCAATGTTTAGATTGATTGATTGATTACATATTTGTTACAGGTTCTCACTATGCAGATTGGACTTGTAGTGATCCTCCTGCTATCAACCTCTCCAGCGTTGTTTACAGGTGTGCACCACTATACCTGGGCTCTGTGGCTCAGTGCACCTGAGGGTAGGGCCAGCATAGCATATGGTACTGGAATTGAACTCAGTGCCTGTGCTTTCCTAAATAGGTGCTTAGTTTGCTGAGCTATTTCACCAGCCCAGCAATGTTTGTTTTTAAATAAAGCATTAAATATGTTTTGATAAATTAGTGGCTTTGCAGTTATCAAAGACCCATAGTTTGGAATCATCAAACTGGTAATTTTCTTGGTGGAAGTTGGATGAGAGAAATCAGTCAGTAGCTATAGAGAGGGGTAAACAGAAGTCACTTCTACTTAGACAAACAAAATTCTCCAATCCAAATATCTAGGCATTTTTATGGACTTGATAATTGGTTTCAAGCAAAAACAAATTTTATATATGTTAGGTAAAACTGACTTCACTGTATAAGGTTGTATTACTGTTTCACAAAGGAAAATGCTTTTTTATTTTACACAACCCTATTATTTTGAAGAGAATATCAATATATTTTGACTCCATGGAATACAGATGAAAGTGTCTATTTGGAAGTTCTAGAACTTTTGAGTTTTGAAGTTTACTAGCAGCTAATAGTACATATTTCAATCACATTAAAGGCCCCCTTACAGATTTCTATCTAGATCATGAATTCTAAACAGCTAATGTTTTATTCTTTCAATAATGAATATTTTGTAAAACATTTCCAGAGGCAGCATGAAAATATTTCTAATGTTCTCTCTCTGTCTCTGTCTGTCTCTGTCTCTCTCTCTCCGTCTCTCTCTCTCTCTCTCTCTCTCTCTCTCTCTCTCTCTCTCTCTATTGGTAGATATAATATGATCACCTTTTTATGCTATTGTGTCAAACCTATAGATGTACATTACTACTTTTTTATACTTAACAAATAGCTCTGATTATATCTGAATACCTATAGGGGATAATAAAATGGCAGATACAACGCTTCAAACAATATGGACAGCATTCATAGATTTCTATAGTATTCAACAATCACTAACAAAAGCAAATGGATAAGAGATTGCAGATGGATAAGATATTGTCAAGCAGGCAGGTGAACTGGCAAGAATAATAATATTGGCAGTTCTGTAATCTTGGAGTGCACAAAATCTGGCAGAACAAATATTTTCATTCCATAATTTAGCATGTATATTATTTCTGGATGCCTCAAACAGCACAGGTAAAAACACACCATTCTCTCGGCTGACCTTTTAACACTTTTAGACTCATCAGTACTTACAGACTTGCAGAAAGCCAAAAAGCTGTTTAATTCGGAATTAGCTATCTCATGAACAGATTGCAGAACCCGTCGTGAAGACACACTTTCTGCCAATGGGCAGGGAGTGGACAGACTCTACAGCAGATCATGTCCTTCCTGCAAGTCAGTCTGGCTTATCCACTATGTGGCCACCAAGGAGCCACAGGCTGTTACCATGTCTGGAAAACCCTGACCCCCTGGGGAGCCAGGTGCAGGACCTGAAAAGGCTATACACCTACATCATTATTCAGAGCTCCTGGAGTTCTTGTGAAGTGAATCTCTTGTCTGAGTAGGAAAAAAAATGGGCAAGAAAATCATTGCAAGATGGTTCTGTAATCTGTTCACTCTCTCAGTCTCTCTATTTGCCTCTGAATTAGGTTCCTTCTTTTCTTCTCTCTGTTTCTCTGTTTTACTTCCTTTGTCTTTTTCCCCTGAAAGGACCTGTGTCAGTTTTTAGGGTACAAAAGTAATATAGACATGGTGGCTCAAAACAACAGAAATTTATTTATTCTTCATCATTCTGGAGCTGGAAGTTTAAAGTTACAGGGCCACACTTCTTCCAAATGCCACTAGGCAAAGGCCCTTCTTTGCCTTTTTCAGCTTCTGGTTGTCAGTCACAGGCATTTCTCCGCTTAGGTCACACAGCTCCAATTTCTGCTTTTTTGTTCTTACAGCCAGCTGTCTTCTTTTTGTATCAGGATCTTCACAAGAACTTCTCTTCTGTGTGCATTGATACTTACCCTTTATAAAAACATTAGCTATTAGTGAATTAGGGACTAATTCAATGCAAATAATCTACTTAATAATCTCATTTTAACTTGATTAAATATAAAGATACTCTGAAGATAGGTTCACATGTACAGGAGACACATGCTTCAGAGGGTTAAGCTTCAACATATCTACTGTGCATGTAATTCAATTTATTAAAGTACCTAAAAAGATAAATTCCATCCTCAGACATTATCTAAGGGGATCAATCATAGGAAAGGCTATGAGTACTCCAAAAAAGTTTCAAACAAAAAATAGCTCAATGAAGAGTAAAATGTGATTCATTCATTCCTCTATTCATTTGACATTTTGTCTTATGAATCTAATATGTACCACCCATGTCCTAGACTTGCTTATATAGTACTGAACAGTGCAGTGTGGTACCTGCCATCCTGAAGCTTGGAGTTTTGTAGATTCAGAAATATTTAATGAGTGATAGCTTAATTATATCTGGTGAAGGAAGAGTTTGAAATTTTATAACAGCACACACTGAGAGGATTTCTGAGAACTATGGGAGTGAGAGAAATTACCTAAAAAGCATGGTAGCAATGAAAGTGATAGTAATAAAAATTATGCCAATATCTATTGATCATGTGTCATACCTCATGAACCCATGTAACTGTCTTACTTGCATCAGCTCTCTTTATTTTTCCTTCCACTTTGTAGATGAGAAAGCTGAGGCAGATGTAAGGATTCTGAAGCAGACTGGTTCCTCTGTGCCTGGATTCAGCATGCAGAAGGTGATGAAACCAAGTGGGAGAGAGGAGCCAGGTGTTAGAAAGGCCTTGTTGTTCAGGATAAGACATATTTCTTTACATGAAAGTAATGTCAAGTTTTGACAAGCTTATTTGAGATGCTGGCTTAAAGAAGCTTATGTTTAAAAGGAATTACCATGCTTGCAATGTTGAGAAAAGATTAGAAGGAAAAGGATCATGGTGACTTGGATAAATATTGTGACAATAGAGACTGACAGAGATGAACACATTTGTGATTAGTAGGAAGTAGTAATGAGAACAAAGGTCCCAAATAGTGTACTGTTATGATGAGATAGGTAGTTGGTGATATCATTTCCCATAAAAAGGCAGTTTTAAATGAAGAGCAGAATTTGGTGGAAGATGGTGGCTTTTGTTTGTACACACTGCCTTCAGGCCTAGGTGCCCTAATGTTTACAGTGAGAAATACAGTTCTGCAGACCAGAGTATAACCTCAGAAGTATAATTTCTAAGGGCATGGCAATAGTGACAGCATTTGAAACTCTGAAAATAGGTGAATTTGACCAGGCTTAGAAAGGAGTATGGAAAAGATAAGGACTTTGACCTGAGTTTCAAGATATCCAGTATTGAATAACAAGGGGGTAAAAAAGAAGCAAGATTGGAAAATACCTGAGAATCAGAGGGAAATAATTCAGAAGAGGATTATGTGACAAAAGCCAAAGGAAGAAAGGGGTTCAAAGTACTATATGTGTCCAATACTTCTGAATAAGAGGACAAATCAAGTGTTCAGTAGACTCAGTAACATGAAAGACTTTGTTAAGCATGTTAAGCATAATTTTAGTGCTGTAGAAAAGGAATTTATACATGGAATGAGTGACCTTGTGATAAATGAAGGCAGCTGAAAAGTAAGAATTTTATATCTTCTACTTCTTTTTTTTTTCTCCTCGAATGCCTTCAGGGCACTTTTGGCTGGCTGGAGTGTTGTGGGGATAGAACTACAGCAACCTGAGGCTGCCAGCATTGTGGAAGCAGCCACTTAAAGAACTGAGCTAGGATCAGGCCCCCTATATCTTCTTAAAGAAAGGACCACTGGCCTTGAATGAGATAAGATAGGGATGGAGCTGAGCAGATGAGGGAGCACATGTCTGCACATGTGTTTTAAACTGGTATTTTAGTTTAGCTTAAATATGAATACTCACTGAAGGATTCAAAAAGGACAGAGAGAGAGAGAGAGACAGAGAGAGAGAGACAGACAGAGAGAGAGAGAGACAGAGAGAGACAGAGAGAGACAGAGAGAGACAGAAAGAGAATCAGACAGAGTTATTTAGGACATGGAATAGAGAGAAACTGGTAACATACAATTCTAGGGAAATAGAGTTCCCTAGAAGGGGCTAGAGTACATTATAAGCGAGGAAAAGAGAAAGGGTACAGAAATGCATGTGATGGCATGAAACTCACATTTTATGTTTCCAATTCTGAGAAATAAGAGTTGAGATAATATGTCCTAAGTGAAAGGCATAGAAAGTCTACTTTCTCAAGTCTGTCTTCTTTCAGACAATTTCTCTTTTGTTTTTATTACCAAAGACATTTCTTTATATATGAAGAGTCTCTCAAAGAATTGTGACTTCTTTTTAACAACATTACAAGATGATTTATTTTAAAATTTGCAAAAATGTTTCCATGTGTTGAAGTAACATTACCCTTGGAAGTAACACTGCCCTCCTGTGTACCCAGTGTCTGGAGCCAGTTCTCAAAACCTTTGTCACTACTGACTGAAAAGATTGATGCCTAATTTGGTACCAATTTTATCAACATTGATTAAGTTTAAAGCTCAGTGTTCAATGTGATAGTAAATACATGAATATTTGCATTGTTGTATTACTCTACATTTTGAGGTTGTATTTAAGCTTCTTTTAAATCCCTTGTTTTGAAATTAAGATAAGCATAATTTTTAGGATTTCTCCTTTTAAGAAATGATTTAATAATTTGGTACATGAATATGAATATATCTGATATCTTAATTAATTTCTTCATTCTTTCTGTTATTTATCCAGTCTGTTCTCTTGTTTCTAATATAGCTGCAAACCAGTTTTTAAACATATGGAACACTGCACAAGTTTGCATGTCATCGTCGCACAGGGGCCATGCTAATCTTCTCCGCATCATTCAAATTTCAGTGTATGAGCTGCTGAAGTGAGTACTGCAAACCTTTTCAATGATAATATATTTATAAATGACAGCATTTTATTTACCAGATGGAATTATTAGAAAATTGCTATGGACCAGTCTAAGATTCCCAACTCCCTGTACTAGGGTTATGACAAAGGGTGAAATGAAAGAAATAACTTAGTAATATGTAAATAGCATGGGGGGTTAGGAGTTCAGGGCCACAGTATGGGTATAGACAATGACTCTCCAAGCTTGCCACTATTTATGGAGCACATACACACATTTTTAGCAGAGGTGGTAGACTTTCCCAGAAATGGGTGTGATTACTGTATGCTAGTAAAAACACAGTAATTCATGCCAAGTTGAGACAAGGGCCGACAAACTGTTCTTCCCCCAGGTGAGACTTTTCTCCTGCTATTAAATTGCTTTACAGATCCCTGTCATCCTCAGTATGTGCGCTCTGAGTGCTGCAGCCTCACTAGCTGTAGAGAGAAAGTGGACAGCTTCTGAGCTCCAATCTGGCTTACAAGGCAAAATAAAGATGGCCTTGAACAGAACAAGGATGGTCTCGGACATTCTCTGAACTCAATTTATATTTTGTGGTCCCCAACAGAAAATGATTTAAAATATTTTATATTTTGAAAAGGTAATATTGGTCCATTCCACAGAGCCAGAATGTTCTCAGTAATATGTGATACATCACCAATTGTGAAATATTCTCAGAATGACTCAAAAATATCCAGTTATGAGAACCACATTTCTAGCATCATGAAATATTTTATTTGGTAGTTTAGAAAAACATTAGTCACCATTCAGAATTACCAGCTTTTAGAAATTTCAGTACAGTTTGTTTTCATCTAGGAATTACTTGTACATGAAATGAATTCTAGAGTAGAACTTAAAATGCCTTGAATGGCTTGCATATACTCATTACTGGCTAAGTGAGGATTAATTCACTTTCATCATTCATCAGTTCATTTCAATTTGGGTTAGGCAAACTAACCACCTGAAGACACCTGTGTAAATGCATGTGTTACGTCTGCACAAAAACTAACTATGGGAGAAAACTAACCTGTTTCTATACCAGCAGAGTGACAAGTGGCCCATGCTGCAATGAGGTAAATGCTTGATGGTAGTCACTAATAATTGAAAGTTGCTCACATTCTAGACATTACTCCTTTTAAGAGAAATTCATGTTTCATTATTTATGAATAACTTTCATATTATGTTTGCTGTCATTGCAACAATTTTGATTAAAATATTTTTTCTGCTGAGTCTGTTTTATGTTTAGTGTAGATATTACCTTGAAATTAGCTACAAGAAAGTTGGATTCTTTAGATACCAAAACCCCACAAACAAATAAAACAAACAAACACCAAAAAGCTTTAAAGTCCTACTGGCCTTAGCACTTAAGGTCTATTAAAGCCTCAGATTTTTGCCTCTCCAGCAGCATAAGCAAGAAGAGATATTGAATGGCTTTGAGGAAATATTGCGTATGAAAAGGAGCATCAAAATAGTCATTATGGTGACTCTGTCAGTACAGGATGGGCTTCAGCTGCAAGTTCCAATGTTATTACCACATGCATATCTAAAATGTATAGTGTAAATGAATTTGTTACTAATCTAAGTAGATAGAAAATAACTTGTGATTTTAAGGAAAGGAGACTTCTTTGGAGTTTTATGATGAAGATGTGGGACTCAGGTGAAGGATTGTTCATAGTTTACCAGTCCACAGGTACTTTTTTATCAAACCAGAGTATTGGACTTCCTCATCATCTTACTAGACTGAAAGGACTGGGGAGATAAGGGGGGAGGGGGATAGAAGATTTACAAGCTGTTGGCAAGTATGCATCAAAAAGGCCTAGTCCCTGAGTTCAATCCCCAGTTCTGCCGCCTCACCCCCCCCCAAAAAAAAAGCATTGACAATTACTTTAGCTAATCAGTAAAAATCAGAAATTTTCTTTATTTTGTGGGGAAAAGTATGTTTTTGTCTTGTGTATGGTTTTAATGATCTATTTCATGATACATGAGGAAGCATACCATTTGACTATTTAAGACCTCAAAAGTTTTAATTGTTCTTAGTTCATAACTTTCCTTTTTATCCTTTTTTCCACTTTTTCTTGGAGGCAAGTGTCTAGACACATGGACTCGTAAGTTCAGTTCTGTAGCTGTAGCCCTTTAGTCACATTGTTTTATTGTCACAGAGTCCTAGTCTTACCTCACTAGCAAGTGTTTTTACCTATTGTTTAGTTCAGTTCAAAGTGTTTTATCCTTAAACTTTTCTTTGGTTACATCATATCCTTTAAAGTAACTACACACAGAGTCCTATGGCCTATTTCTCTTTTTGTCATATTTGTCATTACTTAGCTAGTCTCCAAAACACTTGGATGAAAGCCAACATTTAGGTCATAGCCTTCCAAGGTCAATTAAGACTCAGGACATATGAGAACTTGTACTGTAACATCACGTAACTTGGAAGTGTCCCAAATTTTCTGATCAAGGAGATTATGGGGCCAAAGAAGAAAGTGATCAATGATGTAGAGTGTGCCTAAGGAGAGTCACATGGAGAGAAAACTCTCTCAGGCTTTCACAGAGAGCACATTGGCCAAGCAATGGCCTTGACTCATCCACATGGCTGACATTGACAAAGGTTCCGAGGTACAGGATCTCAGGATAAATCCTGAGGGGTTTTCACTGATCTTAACAGACCCAAAAGCTACAACTCTTGTTGCATAGGTCCTGCTTTACCTTGGTCTTAACCATCCAGCAGAAAAGTATAAAAATGAAGTATAAGAAGTAAAGCCATGTTGTTATGTTGAGCTGCAGAGGACTCAGGTCAACGATTTCTGACATTGCCAGTGAAGCGGAAGACTCAATACTATTATGGACTACTGGACTCTTTTAGAATATTTTGCTGAGTTAACACACCTATAATATTCAAATAATGAAACTTAACAAAAAAAGGGCATACAGATGAATGCCCATTTTGTATCTGTGTACTCAAAATAGTTAGGATAGATATATAGTTACATTCTCTTAATGAATAGAGGGATTTGTTCTAATAGTGTTTGTAAATAGGATATCATATCTGCATCTTGTACAGCAATTAACCTCTAGGAAGAATGTATACAATGAGTTAATTATTAAAACTGTCCTACCAATTTGGTTTAAAACTGTCTTATTGCTATTTGTTTCTCAATAAAATTATAGAAAAAAACAAAGCACTTGGAGTGTATAACTCAAAGAACTGATCTTTGTATTTTCCATGTTGTCTTTCACATATTATCTCCAAGAGAGCAGGAATTATATTTTGTGCACTACCAGAGTCTAACACAGATTAGGTGCTCACTAGGCTTTGTAACTGACTAATACACAACTATTTTTTCAACAAATGAAAGCTAATGAAAAATATTCTGATGACTCAAACAACATTTCTTAAGTTTCATCTTTTGCTGGACAAATAGCTCATTGGATTAAAGTGCCTGCAAGCAGGTGCAGGGGCTAGGGGTTCTATCCTGGGGTACACTGAGGCTGAAACTGAGAATGGGCATGGTGGTGCATGCCTTGGAAGGCTGTAAACAGACAAATCACTACAAGTCTGATATAGTAGTGAGATCCTGAACACCATGTAGGCCCTTCCCTAAAATACAGCAAATAAATAAATAAAGTTTCATATATTTATGTATAAATGAAAAGGAAATTCATATTTTATTGACAGTTTGTTATTTCAGCTGTTTGAGTTGGCAGGTGAAGTAATACAAAAGAAAAAAAATCAATATTGGACCAGACAGTCACACCCAGACACCTTTGATATGATTCTATGTTAAAAAATCTAACATCCTGAAATTGGGAACGGAGTGATTAGAACAGGTAATATTAAGTAGCCAACAGATCACTGTGAATGTGATCTTTATCCCCTGTATTTAGGACAGGGTCTACAGGGTCTCATTACACAGCTCAGACTCATAGTGATTCTCCTGTTTTCAGTCTCCCAAGTACTTGGATTACAGGCACATACCACCACACCCAGAGTGAACCACTGTCTCAGTGCAGCCTGTAGGCTGGACCTGCACACCATGCTGGGGATCAAACCACAGCTGCTGTGCTCTGCCTAAGCAGGAGCTTTAGTCTGCTGAGCTATCAGGCTGGGCCACTGTGAAGGTATTTCATTAGCATTGTCATTTTACTTTCACCCTGTCCCCAGTATTCAGAGTTTTTAGGAAAATCTGTTCTTTTTTTATCATAGCTGTAAGTAAAATTAGCAAATGTTGAAAGCCTCTCTCTATCACTATGTGCACAAGCCTTTCTCGGCTGAATTTGTGGATATAGTATTTTCAAGAGATCAATCTAACATAACTTTCTTTTGGGGGGGTATCAAGAATTGAGCTCATGATCTTACACTTGCCAGGTGAGTGCTGTGCTTTTGAGCTAAATCCTCTGCCCACTCAAAAATGTCAATCTAAGACAGGTTATAAAATGAAAAGTGAGGTCAATTACTTACCTTTGTGAACAAGGGTAAGGTGGGTGAAATGAGTGAGGCACATCTTTTTCAGAGATGAGAAAAAAAGTCAAAAGTGCCTACTTCCAAAGATGGAATTTTTTCATCTCAGCAGCACTCAAAGCCTTACTCTTTTCCATGTATAAATCAAACACAAGATGCGGTCTATATGCCTAGACATGCACTGTCTAAATAAAGTGTTAAAAGCTAGCATCAAAAAATTTTAGGTAAACCACCTTTTAACTGATGGTTGTGTGTTTTTTTTATTTTTTTTAAGCTCTACTTTTCTATTTAGATTCTTAGACTACAGATACCACAGTAGAAAGGACCAAGAACAAAACAAACAAAAAACCCAGAAGGCTAGTTGATTATAGGAGGGACTGATCAGTGAGATGGAGAACTGGTGTGTTCCTTACTGAGCCTCCTTGGATAGGTGGGGTAGGTTATACTTTCCTCTTCTACCATCAGGCGAGTTCTGTAATTTGAAGCTACACTGTGCTCTTTGGAGTCCATGTATCTAAAGGCATTGTAGTT